AAACATTTTTGCAGAATACATTTGGAGAAAAAATTGTATTTAAATAAAAAAAGTGTACTTAAGCTTAGGTACATAAGAGGTACGATGGACTTAAGTACCAGTAATAGAGTTTGTTTCGTAAGATATTTAACCAAAGTAGTTATTCGAATATCGATCGTACTAGTTATGAATAACTTTTCTACTGCTTAATAATAAAATTCACTCTCACGAAAACATTGGATTTTGTTGACAATTTTCAAATGATAGAAAATAGTTTTTGAGTCATGCCTAATTACTTGGCTCATTTTTTTAATCGCTTCAATCGTGAAAATGTTTACAGAACGAAAAATAATTCACAAATCAATGTGATTATTGTTTGTGGCAACTAAATTAATAATAATACAAAATAGACCAGATAGTATAGGCTTAGATAAAGATACACACAATTCGAAACCTCTAAGCCCCTTTTACGCTAAGTGCATGCGTATAAAACACGGATGTATACATGTATATGTGTGCAGCCAACCTGGCCACTGATGACGACAAGAAAGCAGAAAGCTGCAGTGCGCATGCGCATCATCGTATCGTTCGTTCGTTCGTTCGTGCGTGCGTTCGTTCGTTTGTTCGTGCGCTCGTGCTTCAATAGCCCCCCAGCTTGACCAATGCTAGAGAAAAGAGCAAACTTAGCCCGTAGCAGAGCGTAGATACACACGCGCATGTGCAGGTCTCAAACAGAAGGATAACAGACACAGTTACACACTGATGCATATGCGCACGGAGCCCTTAAGTCGCTGAAATAATACTTACGTACTTTGCACATATAATGTCCATCCATTTCTCTCTCTTTCACAATATACCTTTGACATACAGTTCTATATTTACAATGACGCTGCCATCTGTGGGCGAATAAGACTACTACATTCTTAGATAGTTATAATAATTGACTGTATGGTTGACAAAAAGCGTCTCAAGAATAAGCTTAAGAAATATGATTCAGAAAAAAACAAAAGAAATTTGAAGTATTAATAAAATTCAGTAACTCTATTGGAGAATTTGAATTTAAAGAGTTTTTTTAACAAAAAACAAGTACTTATGATAAGGTGACTTGTTAATTCTATATAAAAAAGAGAAAAAAAGTTTTGTAGTCATCGAGAACATTCTTGCTCTGAAAATAAATATCATTCTACTTTTAGATTCTTAAGAATGGCAGAGATAATATTGACACGGATACTTTTATCAAATATAAACCCTCTATTTTGTTTTGCGTATGTCTAGTAGAACTTTATAGTAAAATCTCAGAAATTTTTAAGACTGAATATGTAATGTTCATAGGTTAACATTCAATTTTTTGATGATAATGGTATTTAAGTTAATATAAAAACTTTATTATGTACACATCTATATGTTGCTAGTGAAACAAATAAACAACAACTATTTTGACTCAAACATCATTGTTTTGTGCCAAATAATCATTTTATTATAATTGAAAAATTTGGCTCTACAGCAGCAGGACACTACTGGGTTATAAAGAACTATTTATGTAAAAACTATTTTAGGCCTATCCTTATATCCATTTCATATATTTCATTCTATTAAACTGTTACAAACTCATACGCTTAAAGAAAAGTAACCCAACGTACTTCATGAAATGAAAGTAAACAAAATTTTTTACTCATCCGATAAATTACTTTTATTAGAAAAAGCTACACTTTTCACTGTCTCATTAGCCACAATTGAGTTAATATTAATTTGTTAAAATGTATGTTCTAAGTTCATCTTTTAGCAAAATTAATGATTATGAGTCACTAATACAGTGGAAGTACAAGTATCTTAAAATTTTTTTAAAACTAAATTTCAATCATCATATCTAGAAATACAACATTTTATGTTCAGTTAAATTGATAGATATTTGGACATAACTCCGAATGTCTCTTCGAAAGAGGATTAAAATTTAGGCGAGTGTCAGTCTTCTGCATCTGTAATATGAAATTCTCACAACGCTTGATCATCTTATACATTCAAATAAATACATTGGTAAATTGAATCTTAATAACATGTAACATATCTGAAAACACGATCGGTCATTAATAGATTCATGCATTTAAAAAATCAAACTCCAAGTGATGACAGCTCTCTTGTTAAGGAGTCCGTGTTTTGCTAAAGAATGAACAAAATTTATGTAATGCTTAATTTAAAAACATTACTATAAACTATTTCGTTCTTTTATGAAAAAAAAAAAATCATGATTAAGTTGTTATTTAATGATTCGTGCACTAGGTGACTAGGCTCGTAAGTAAAATCAACAGTGCGATAAAAAATATGTAGTATACCCTCCTAGTAGTCAGTCCCACATGTAATACTTACTGACAAATAAAAGAATATTTACTTAAGTAATGAATTTCCTTTTTAAAGTTTTTGTATCTTATCAAACGGCATGAAATCATAGCAAGGATATTAAGAGATGATTCCGAACGTCTCTTCGAAAGAAAATTGATAGTTAGGGCGAGTTCTAGTCTTTTCTATCTACAAAATAGACTTTTTATAAAGCATGATCATTATATATATTTGTAGAGCGCGCAGTGGCTCAGTCGGCTAGGTCGTAGATTGGGACGCAGGGGAGACCGAGGTTCGATTCCCGGCCAGTGCGACTTTTTCGGGCAAGTACCTCTGTGATCTTTCACATGTGCTTTTTAACCACTCAATGCTCCTCGAGGAGGGTTTAGGCGACCTTCTCACAGCAAAATTGCCTAATTCCCCCTTCCCCCCTCCTGTAATGGGAGGCCTCACCATCCCTTTCCTTGTCCCTTTCCCAAGTGCTAAGTGCCCATAGTAGTGCCCTTACTAAAAGAGCCAGACGTAGAGCACTATAATATAAAAAAAAGAAAAAAAATATATATTTGTAAAAATACATTGGTGAATTTAAAATAAATAACCTGTTACTTATCTAAAGCCCAAGGGGTCGTTGAAATATTGATGGACTTGAAAAACCTAACTACAAGTGATGACGCACTTTTGTTAAAAAATCCATGTTTTGCTGTACCCTTGAGTTTGATGTCAATAGTGGGCTACTGCAGGTGATACTATTGTTTGAGATCAACATACAACCCTGCGGTGCATTTAATCTCAGTGACTTATTGCCTGTCAAACACATGTGTAACTGATACAGGTACTAGGTAGGTACATACATGCCAGGAATAGACACCTTTACTTTTTCAAGTGCTTTTAAAATTTTTTTTTTTTTTTTTTTTTAAGCAACATATTGTATTCTTATTTCTGGAAATTTTTTATTTTTATTTTTATGCTTAAAACATAACTTTAACAAATTTTCAAGAGTTTTAGAAAAATATTGCATGTAAATAATTAACGAAAATTTGAAATCGAAAGTCTTAGCTGAGTATTAAAAAAGAGAATGAATATGTTCGATAATAAAGATGATCAATTAAACTTAACTCTTAAAAACTCTCTCATTTTTAAGATGGTCAAAATGTTGTTAATAATTACGATAGCACAAGTAATAATGATAAAATAAATAATGAAAAACATTTTTGCAGAATACATTTGGAGAAAAAATTGTATTTAAATAAAAAAAGTGTACTTAAGCTTAGGTACATAAGAGGTACGATGGACTTAAGTACCTGGTGAAAAATGGTAGCTGCTTATAAAACATACTGAAAGTGCTGTAACATATACATCAGTCTTTGTTTTTAATTTATGAATCCAAGCGTTGCTTTTATAATTTGTTTAAAATAGTTTGATGGTTCGATAAGACTTGATTCGATTCGATTAGATTTGACTCGATTAGAGAGAGAAAGAGAGATGTTTTGTTGTAGTAAATACTTTTATAGCTCACACTGTTTTATTAAAATAATTGTTTACACTCAAGAATTTGTGTTAACAACATTTCAAATGTCAACTGCTTGTAAAATTACGACTATACAATAATTGTTACAGACGCTACATATGAATAAATTATACATTAGGTGCTGGAACACTTATAGATGCACTTGATGCATAGAAAAACAACAGAAACTACAAAAAACTGCCTTAACCTAAGAAATCCTAAGAAAGTATACGTTTCATTGCAACAATTAAGAAATCAATGTTTATAAATAACTGATTAATTGAATTAATAACATAACACTATAGCAGTTTTTAACAGTTTCATAGCAGTTTTTCTGAAAAAAATTTTAATGAAATTTTTGATAGTAACAGAGATGTAGACTTGTAAAGTGTCACTCAGTTTTAAGTACTTTATTTTGTAATAACTATTTAAACAAGTAAAAGCAGTTTTTGTGGCTTGCATTTTTTAAAAAAGCAGTTTTTTAATACGTATCTTAGATAAATTTGTTGTTTTAGTTTTTAACTTTTTGCAAGCTGAAAAAGCGCTGGTGAGTGATTGTGCATGCAACAGTTATCTTTGGCACGTATGCACATCTTATGTTCTTTCCATTATGATTGGCTCTACATTGTTAAAATAGGAACTGGGTGTAACATTTCATTACCTCAGAAACAAGTAAGAACGATAGGAGAGCTGGATATCGCAAGGAACTCTTTAATGATTATTATCATACATACCCATTATAGATAATTGTTTCCTCTTGGCTCTTGGTGTCGGTAACTTGCATATGAGTAACGAGAAGCCCATAAACTGATGCTGCCTCTTCACTTAAAAAAATTTCCATTTGCAGTGGTGTTCCAGGTTTGACAACTAGCTCATCCTTAATAACCTTATTACCTTGTCTGACGTTAAACAATAGTTTTGGGACCGATGCGTTGCCTTCAAGGATACCCAATACAGGCGTATTTCTAAAAAAAAGTCATGTAATTCAATTATTACCAAAAATTATGTTCTTATACTCATGTTTATGTGTAAGATAGAACTATAAAAAAATTTAATTCGTCAGTGGCTCTCGTGATAGCAGATAATTATTATGAAGAAATAATGACTCTCTTGGTGATGCTATCAAAATCGTTTATTGCTGTGAACAACGTTTTGGCCCGTACAGTAAACCACGTTACAAGGCCCTCATCAGGTACAACTTTATAGCCACGACAATAGCGACTATAGGTATCACGATAGATGGTAGATCGAAAAATATGGCGGCGTTGGCGTATTTTGGGCCGAAACGTTGTTCACAGCAATAAACGATTTTGATAGCATCACCAAGAGAGTCATTATTTCTTAAAAAAAAATTTAAGCCAAACGCTTCTTAAAACTGTAGTCCATACATTTTCAAAATTATCACTTTTATAATAATTAGTATTATTTTTGTCCATTTATATTTTACAATTAATATAATAGATTTAAAATGGGATATTCACATTGTTGTAGCTTACAAGGCTCACAAAATCAAAAAATAGGAATTACAAAAAATACTTAAATGTTCATTCTTTAAGTCTTGATGTTATAGTAGTTGCGCAAAAAAAATCTCAAATGTTTTATTCCCTCCTGACATAGCGAAGGAGCGTGATGGTTTTTTTTACATTAATCGTAACTTTTATTTCAGACCCACATCCTTTAACGTCCGTTTGCGAAAAAGAAGATCAACCTTATCTATTTTTTTTTTAGATTCTGCTCTATTACTTTACTGTAGATATGTGATCTGCATCGATTCATGGCGTTGCAGGGATACCTCATTATCAAATTACCAAGAGCACTGATTGACACGAGAGTGCTCCGTTTGTTGTTTTGGGGCACTTTCACAGAATCTTGAGTACAAAAAAATAGTTTATTACGATACAAGAGCAGCAAACCGAAGATCCTAGACTGCGTTGCATGATGGCTGAGGGGCAGTCGAAGCCCTCTAACACGCAGGCCAGGGTCTAAAATTTATTGGCCATATGAGTAGTATACGATTATCCTTAGCCTGGCTAAAAGTACGTCTGATAAGTGATTAATAATAATTAAATATCATATCTGGCAGCTTGTTGACACTTTGACGTCCGAGTATACATACAAATATGCTACTATTTTTCAGTCTACATCAGCGGCATTTACCAGAAAACTTTTTGTAACCTGTGCTGCTCATGTGCGGTAGATGCCTACCCTAACATTCACTGGCAAAGGCAAAGCCATGACTGTACTGGTCGAAAAAAGGGTTGGGGGGGGGGGTTCATGACTGTTTTGACTAAAATTTCAAAAGAAGTCAGAAAGTAAATACAATTCAATAAATAAGTGACAAATCAAGAAAAAGCAGTGTATATATACACTATACATATCGCTATGCATAAATTGTTTGCACGACTTGTATTCGACAAGACCGTTAGCTTGCTTTCTACCTTCCCTGGCGTGTGCTGCTGTTACACACAGAGAAAAATCATGAGGTTTTATTATAGAGAGGGACAATACAACTATCCTACGTGACTTGCTATGCGTTATTAAAATAAATTTGATGCTCTAAAAGTAAACTAAGATGGAATAGTAGCATCACAACTGACCGTGCTTAAATCACATTGTTAGTCATAAGTCAAATACCCAACAATCATGACGTCAGAGCAGCGCATCGATGGCTCAAACGCATCGACTATAGCTATGGAGCGCGTGGTGGCTCGGTCGGCTAGGTCGTGGATTGGCACGCGGGAGACCGTGGTTCAATTCCCGGCCAGTGCGACATTGTCGGGCAAGTACCTCTGTGATTGTTCACATGTGCTTTTTCACCACGCAATGCTCCTCGAGGAGGGTTTAGGCGACCTTCTCGCAGCGAAAATTGCCTAATTTCCCCCTACCCCCTCCCAATAATGGGAGGCCTCCCATCCCTTTCCTTGTCCCTTTCCCAAGTGCTAAGTGCCCATAGTAGTGCCCTTAATAAAGGAGCCAGACGTAGAGCACTATAATATAAAAAAAAAAAAAGACTATAGCTATGAGCTAAACGTCTGGTGGCGATAATATTTTTTCAAAGCTGCCTTGCTTTTGCTACCCCCGCCTCTGCCTGATTCTAGCATCTATTTTCCACCGCATATCATTCATTATGCGCATGACGACCACTAGCCCACCATTTGCATCTTCTTGCAACGTGTGCGTAGCGTTTTTTGTTGCAAACAACGTAAAACTGAAGAAAATTATTGATTTGCATTTATGGAAGTGATATAGCTCCAGATTATTATTGTCACGCGATACTGTACACATTCCGCTTTGTTATAAGAAATATGTGAAGTATTTCTCGTGCTTGTATAACTTCTACGATCAAAGAAAAGTTAAAGAGAGTTACCTCACGTAGACTGATACAGCAACAGGAGTAAGCATCACGTTCAGTTTTGTACGTATCTGACCGTCACAACATCACTAAATGGTTAGTTTGCTCAACTTTCTTTTGACCGTGCGAGTATCTCCCAAACTAAAATCATTTGGTAAATTTTTAATAAAAAATCAGAATGCTTCTATTTAATTGTAACAATCATAGCTGGGAACTACATTACTTTAATAAATTGAACTTAATATTTTTCGCAAGTTTTATATTGTGTGTATCGAGAAATGCTACGCTTACGTTGCAAGAAATTGCCACTGGACCGCTGGTGGTCTTTATGTGCACAGTGAATAGAGAACTACTTCGCGCTATCGTAACATCAAACTGTCTAGATAAGTACAATATTGAAGAACATTTGCGGTATCATCTGCTGTAATTATAACATCAATACATTAACATCTAAAACTTTGTATTAAACTGCATGCAAATATAGAAAACTCGTGCATGATTATTTAAAAAACCTGTAATACCACAGGAATATTTTCATCATTTAAAATTAAGAAAAATCTATAAGAATTCAGGCTTGATGATAAATACCATAACTTTTAACAATTCGAACATTTTCTTATTGAATAATTTATTTCATTATAATTGTTATTCAAATACAATTATTATTATATCGCATTATGTTCATATAATTAGTATGTTTGTACAATCATATTAGTGACTTTTCATAAAATAAAAACAATGTTGACGTTAAAGGTCAAATTTCGTGATTACAAATCTTTTCTGATTTTTGTATAATGTGTCTACAAGGATAGGTTCTTAAAACACAGGTAATATTGATTAATATGTATGGATCCCCATCGATGATCCTTAAGTGGTAAGCATAATAATGTTCATCAAGAGTAGCAACATGTCATTGTTTAATCTGGAAAAATATTTCATTATCACATTGAAATATGTTCATAATCATACCAAACTTTGGAGTATCATGATTAATTTTGAAAACATAAACACTTTTAACATTCAAACTGTTCCCAAAAATATTAACATTTTTAAGAGTTCTTACAAGAACGTTGCAAACATTGGGTACAATTTTTTCATATAAAGAGAACGCAATTTCTTTAATAATTTTGTCAGTCTTAGAATGTCTTGTGGAAACAGTTGAACGTACCAAGTTATAGGAAAACGGCAGTTGATGTCTAATGGTAGAAGTTAAAGGCGAATTCATATAAGATGAGATATAATATAATAATCCCAATATAAATATAATTATTAGCTTACCCAAAGGCTTTAAATATAAGTCATTGTGATATGTTACATGTATTTTCAAATTTGCAATTTGCCCTTTCGATATAGTGAAAAATGGCAAAATACCAGTAATTTTCTGTAAGTATAAATATAGTTTTCAACCCTCATTCCCCAAAGCAATCAAATCACCTATTATAAGACCCAAGTTATGTCCTAAATAGAGAAGCTGAGACTCTGATTATTCAATTCTTAATTTCTTAAAACCTTTGTTACTTTTAGTAAAACTTAAGGGTTGTGGTTTATTGTTTTTGTCAGCATCTGTATAATAAGAAGTCCGAATTCAATTCAAGATCATACTTAATGTAATCCTTTTGTTTTAAATTAAATTTTCTAAATTTTACCGATTGCATATGCTTATTTTCCTTCATATTTTTTGTTAACTTCTATACTGCTTTAATCATTGTTCATGATTGCTTTTTCACGCGATTCAATATTTCTTATTAAAAATTCATCTTCTTCTGTCATGACTTTACATTTTTCGTTAGTAGCCGTGCATATACTTGGAAGTATTTTTCCGTAAAGCTTTTAGAGAATCTGTAAATGGTATTCAAATCCAAGTTACCTCTAATTATTTAAACGCACTAAAAAAAAACTTGGTATTTTTTATCTCTAATTTTTATTCCTATGACCTCCTTAGATAAATAATTAATTTTATTAATTAAGTTGGAAAAAAACTCGACGATAATCTAAAAGTTTCAAGTACTCTGACTGGACTTTACTGGTCACTAAGGTGTTTTCCAATGTAGCACTTATATGTGGAGGTAAAAAAGCAGGAACAGCATATATTCCAACAAGCTTTTGATGTCCTGCTCTTCTCCCAAGAAGATATCTTACTATGAACTCATCTTTATATGAAAAGTAGGGATAGATTATTTTGCTTTCATCATGATTCTTATTTATCCACATTTGTCCTTGAATCACGTCTAATAATACGGTATAATCGATTGTCAATGATTTCATACATTAATGTATTTTCTTAAACATATCATCTCTTTCAAGCATAGCTTTAAAAGTGTTCTCCAAACAAATGTTGGCATGGTATATAGGCTCGTAAACATCATGAATTACTTTACTTTAATTTCTTATCTCCTTTACTACATAATAAAAAGTGCTGTATTTAAAAATTTGTCTGATTCACTACGTTTTTTTTTTTTTTTTTATATCATTTGTTTTTTTATAAATAAAACGAATAACTTGTTAAACAAATTATCAGTGAATTCTATTATATCACTGACAGCATTCTGTCATATAAATTTATTTCTGAACAAACGTAATGAAAATTTTACTTCTTCTTCTTTTAGTTTATAC